ATGGCTGCTACTGTGCGCCAAGCAGCCAATAAAACTCAAAAGTTAATGTGATCCGTATTTTGTGATGTAAAAAGTAAGGTTGTGATAAATTATTCAAAGCTCTTAGGATGGGATTAATTCTTTCAAATTCAAGTGAAAGACAAACTATACTCCAAATAGAAAAGCTGTCATAGCCTGATAATTTTATTCAACCATAAACTTCTACTCACTCCTCTAAAATCCGTAGTTTTTCTCCCTTCTTGAAACCAAGGTCTCCTTCATGTATCCCCTCATAGTCGTACAGCGCAATGGCGTCACACTCACCTATAAGAAAAACAGAACAAATGTTCAAAGATGATCATTAACCTGGATAATAACTTTTTTGTTAGGTTGAATTAAATCCCTCAAGCTAAGAAAATAAAATGATGTAGAGCAGTGATTCCCAACCGGGGGTACGTGTACCCCTAGTGGTCCACGAGGGTATTGCAAGGGGTACATGAAAATATTTTGATGAAATGATGAGGATTGGAGCTAAAGAAATAAATTTAATTGAAAATGGATCTGAATCAGTGAGGATGCAGACTGAGCTTAACCCCCACTTACTAACTTCTAACTTTGTGCCATGTTTATATATATACGGTAAATAAATAAATGAATAAATATATAAAGTTTATGCCCTTCCATTTAAAATCAACTACCAGTAAATTTAACTGAAATTGATGATAATAATTGATGACATATTTAGTGATAATAAATAGAAAATGATAAAAAAATTGAGATCCCAAAATTAATTTTGAATTTATATGTATAAATACATACATACTGATATATTAATAAATAAAATAGGTAAACCAGCTCCAGATCTGAAATGTTGAGCAACATTTGAGGCAATAATCACTCAAATCAGGTATTGTCTGTTCAGGAAATGTTCAGATTGGGCGGTTGGTTGGTTTGCTGATCATCTGCAGGGTGCTTTTATTTTACTTTTTTTTTTTTGTACTTTATATACTCTAATAATCCCAGAGGGAAATTACTTCTCTGCATTTAACCCATCCCCTTGGGGAGCAGTGGGCTGCCATTGTGCGGCGCCCGGGGAGCAGTGTGGGGTTAAGGGTCTTGCTCAGGAACCCAGAGTGGCCTTGCAAAAATTTTTAATTTTAGTTAGTTTTTTTTTTTTTTAAAAGCCGGCTTTTTTTTTTTAATTTAGGCGTTTAGTTGTTCCCTTTTGCCATTGGATTTTGGCATTTTCCTTTTAAATTGGGAAAAAACAATTGCATTGTCTTATTCCAAGTGGATATTATCTAATTACCTTATTTTAAGAGTAAAAATACTCATTCCATTGGCAAATCTTATTATTTACTTGCTTGAATTATGCTAAATACACTAATTTTAAGACATTTTTACTCGTTTCCAGATCGTTTTTGCAGTGTGGCAGTCTGTGGGAGTGGGGGATCGAACTCACAACCTCAGGATTCAAAAGCCCTCAGGATTCAAAAGCCCTATGCCCGAACCACTTAATACAAAGCAATACATTTAGCAATATGTTATTTATACGACATCATAATTTAGTCCATATTCAGTTTAGTGTTATTTGAATTATTAGTGTGAACTGATCTTCTTCTTTAATGAGAGGGTTTGTGAACTTTCAAGCACATCTGTATGATTATTTATTCAGACTAGCAGAGTTTCAGAGGGACTCAAGGAAACTAAAACATTACCAAGTGAACGATAACTGCTAGCTTTTGGTAAACCGTTTTTTATACTCTGTGGATAAAAAAATAACAGTTATAAAAATAGTATTTTGATTTTGTCCCTCTGACTCCCCTATTCTTTTTAGGCTGAGTAAGATGGACAAAAATAAAAATGCATCTGAGTGCGCAGCTGTCATAAAATTATCATTGCATAGTAATTTTTGTGCACCTCAGCGTTGTTGCTAATTTAGGTTTCCTGTCATTTTTCTCAGTGACTGAGTTCCTTCCACGGCTGGTATTAATAGCAGCAGGGCTGCGCCTCTGAGGGCTGCTGGTTCAGGTCTAAAGCAGTGCGAGGGGTTATCGCTCACCACCCACACACTCACACACACTGCTTCCTCTTTAACAGACGGGGTGTTTCTGCTTCTACACTGACCTACATCACTCCAGATAACGACTAATGTTGACTTTCTGTGGCGCTGGCAGCCATTTTGAATCAATTATTACCTTCTTTCCAAGCTAATCTTTGGCTCTCCTTAAAGAACCAGCAGATGCTGCTAGGATTTCTGTGCAGCGAGAGTCTGCAAGGCACAGGAAATAAACTTACCATCTGAAGAGGCTCCATTGGAAGCCTGTTTGGCCTGTGGAGAGAGAGAAAAGGTCACACATTCCTTTATTTTAATTGCTGTGCATTCAAATAAAAGTCAAATAGTTTTTTTTTTAATTGCAAATTTTTTTTTTGTTAGTAGGAAGGTTGGTTACTAACAACAGCGCCTAACAAACACAGCTGGTATGAAGCGTGATATTCTAATGGATGATAAAACAGAACAAAACTAAAGAGGCTCTCAGTCAGACACCAACTTCAGTCAATCATTTATGATAACTGGAAATAAGTGTTAAAATCTCTGTTTAGAAATGTGTTAATTAGTGACATTTAACTGTATGAAACCTTTTCTAAAAATGAACTTCCTGGAGAAGTTTTACTACGCTGTACTTTTACTTGATTATTAGTATTAGGAAGTATCGCTAACATTTCACACATAAATTACTTCACTGAATAAAAACAGGAGCTTCTAGTCAAAAATATCCTGAAAATAAAAATTTGAAAAATATAGAAATAAAAGAATTAAACGTATAATTGTTTTGTCATTTTTGGCAGCCATGTTGCAGAACTCCAAGCAGTGACATCACGGGTTGGTCGATGCTTCATCTAGCAGTTAAATATATTTATAAAAGCAACGATACTTCCAAACCGTAAAACACTTAAAAGGTTTGATGGAAGGCGGAGCTTAAAGGACACAGAAGCGTCTGAATCCCATTGTTTCTGCTTTAGAGCCAATTAAACCTGCGTTTCCAGCCGTAGGAAGGAGAGAGGAGGCAGATTGGGAGTTCAGATGATCCCTGCTACCTCACAGAACAATGATGTAAAGCAGAAGACTTTGTAGATGATGGAAAGACGTGATAGGAATGGGAATGGTAAATGGCCGGAATCTATAGAACTCTTTTTCAAGTCAGAGAACTTGAACAAAGTGCTTTAAATTACATTGACTCACACACTGATGGTGGTGAGCTACATTGCAGCCACAGCTGTGCTGGAGACAGGAGCCAGGCTGCCGTACGCTGGAGCCTCCATCTGACCACCATCAGTAGGCAGTGCAGGTGAAGATAGGCAGCGACCCCACCACGACCCTCAGGATGGATGGATGCAAGGATAATGGATGGAGGGGATGATACATGATGGATGGATGATGGATGAATGAATGCTTCTTAAAATCTCTGAGATGTTCCTTTAAAGTTTTAAATCTTGACTTGGTCTGTTTGGCCGTTTATTGACTGTATAATTTTGTGCCATTTTCAGGCCGATTCTCCATTCGTGGGAGAATTCTTTGGATCTGGCTGAGTTTCAGCATCATGGGGCGTCCTGCATGGTGTAGCGTACAGGGGGTAACGAGGGGCGATCAGCCTCTAACGACCAGCTCTCCATCAGGAATCTTAAGGTCCGGAGAAAATCAAACATGTTTGAAGTTCAGTCGGCCGTCTTAAGGTGTTGGTGAGTAAATCCTGCTGCTGAAGCAGAGCTATGAGCTGATTTACCAGAACCTCGAGCACTGAGCATGAGCAAACAAGGGAGTTCTTCTTCTTCTTCTTCCAGATAGACGAGTCCGACCAGCGTCAGTCCGACGTGCGGGTTGAAGATGTGCAATGTGAGCAGGTAGATCGCAGGTAGGCTTCTGTCTCCTTGAACCCCAGTGGGCCTCAGCAGATGGCCGCTCACACTGAGCCTGGTTCTGCTGGAGGTTTCTTCCTGTTCAAAGGGAGTTTTTCCTCTCCACTGTCGCTACAAGCATGCTTAGTGTGAGGGATTGCTGAAGAGTTAATGAGTCGATGCAATCAGCTGGTTTTCCTTAGATAGAAAACTTTGAATCAATCTGACTGGATGATCTGGTGAACTGGAAAGTGACCTGAGATGACATGATGTGAATTGGAGATATAGAAATAAACTGAATAGAATTGAATTCAATAGATCGCATCAGAGCAAAAGGCTGTGAACTTTTAAACCTTATGATTTCAATGTACAGTTTGACCAGAGCATCAGGAAACATTTTCCCATATAATTGGTTATATATAAAAATATATCATATATTTCTCCTTTCCTTATATTCCATACATCATACAAAGTTTTGACAATGTGAAAAAGGCTTTTTTTTTTAGATTGTTGCAAATTTTTTCCAAATAAATTTCCAAAAGGAGGAAATCCTTTTTTATAGAAGCATTTCCAGACTTTTCCTGCTCCGCGTTTGGCAGCAGCTCCAGCCTTTTAGATGCTCCTACATCCAGCCAGGCTCACCTGTCCTCAGATGCTTTGGTTCTTATTCACCTTTAGCTCCATCAGGCTGGATGGGAGACTTCTGAGCAGACAGCTTCAGTCCAGATTGGCTTGGCCTCTCCAGGACTTTCACAGACTGGTTCTGATCCAGACCAGAGATCCGTGGAGCAGGTTTTCATCAATGATGTTAATTTTTTGGATCCCACAGCATGATGCTGCCTACACCATGCCTCCTTGTACGGAAGGTATCGGTTTCCTCCAAACATGGCGGCTGGTTTTCACACCAGAGTTCCATCTTTGTCTCATCAGACCTGAGAACGTTGGTCCTCCTGGTCTCCTGGTCCCTCAGGATCCTGTTGGTGTCCTCCAGACAGGAGGCCGTGCCTCTTATTCAGGAGCAGCTTTTGTTTGGTGGGTCACATCAGAGACGGACGCACTTCTGGAAGGTTCTCTTGGCTGCAGCTCTGCCAGAGGAAGCACCGTCTGAAAACAGTTCCTTGGACCCCATTTGCACCAGCTCTGAGCCATCTTGGTTCTTATGACCATTTAAACATCACGCTAGCATGGTTCCTCGCCTCCTATCGTTGGCCCATGATACTACAGCTCTCAAGTCAGGAATTACACAAATAAAAATGGCGGTGGTCATAACATTCAGGAACTTATGTTTGTTTATATTAGTGATATTTCACACACTGCCCATTAAAACATTTGTGGAACAGATATGCTTCAACTTCTTCAGTCCAAAATTGCTTGAGTTATAGTCAAGATGTGGATCTATAGAACAAATCAGAAACCACAGCATCTGATGGGCAAACTGGAACAGCTGGGATTCAATACACCCCTCTGCTATTGGCTGCTAGACTTCCT